CCGAAAATATGTGAAAGGTTGGAGGACCGGGCAGCATGACTCAGTAGCGAGTCGGCGCTTAGAGTGACCGTGTATGGACGAGGATTTGTGTTGACAGAAGGAAGGAACAAACTGCAATCAGCTGCAAAATCACGGTGATCCGAGTGAGGTGAAACAAAAGTTGGGCAGTCAAACGAATAAAAACCAAAAGATATTTAAAAAAACTAGACAAATAGAACCTCATAACTGGTGGGTAATACCTGAGTGAATGGGTATAATATGGCGCGGGGTCACATGAATTGGAGCCATACATGGCGCTTTTAGAAACGACGCATACTAACGGCAAAATAAGAACTCAGTCACAGACTTGAATGAGTAAGAACCAGGAGCTGACACAAAAGTTTAGGTATAAAACTCCAAAAGAGTAAAATCCGATCTGTGTCCGGAGTAGGGGTAAGAAAAATTGGGAAAGTAATCGAGAGCAAACTAAAAACCAGTGAAATCACAAAAGGAGCACCTGAGATAGTGTTCAAATGGATGCAAAGCGAGGAATGGGAGGAGGGATTTGAGAGTAGCAAGACTTTGAATGCATCACGAATGAAGTTTATGTAACCTGAGAACGGGTAAATGGTCAGAAAAACAGGGCCTGGATAATCAGAGTCGGGTTGGCGAATACATGGACGCTTGGCCCGATAGCGGCTTGCCTAGCCTAGCAGCCACGATTAGTAAATGCAAACGGAATCCAAAAACAAACCCCCAGGTCAAGCATGACATAATGAACAGACAGACAAGACGAGACGAAAACACAAACGAGCACACACGAAGGAAATGAGGATAATAACAGGACGAGAAAATATTATCACGCATCCAGTTCCCCACAAATAGGCGCGTGAGCTCGGTTAGCATGGATACAGGGCAGAGAAATAGGAAAGCAGACAGAAAAGGACCAAAAAATAGGTTCATAAAATTCTTTTTGAAAGATCCCATGAGGACTGCTCGTGGTCTTTCTGAGTGTTTTGGGAAACAGAAATTCTTTCGTTTTCGCCCGTTTGGAATAAGGAATATTTGACTGGTTTTCACCAATCCCTCTAAATGGATGCGACGTATTACAGCAGAAAGTCTGACTCATTGAGACGGCGCCACACTGAAGTTCCAACGGCGGATGCATGTATGAGCAATATGCCCGGTGATGACAAAGCCCTGCATAACAGTCAGCTTGATAAGGCAAGATGACAGAGAACTCAACCAGTAAAGGACATTCAACTCTGGAATAACATGAGTAGGAAAGTTATGAGTGTGAGGGACAGGAAAAGAGAAGAGGATCACAGAAATCATGTCCGTGCAGGAGTGGAACAGCAACCGTTGGAACCAGTGTCCTTACGTGACGGACAACCAACAGCAAAGCTGCAAATCAATGAGGGGAGTACATGAATCACTGTACGCCAGGATATGAATGACTGTTGACTAGACCTTATGGTTTCGAATTCGACCTTGTTGAGCCTACAATTCGATCAGCAAGTTCCAGGCTAAGCTCCAATTCCAGTGGTTCACAATCATCATCGTACGAATAAGCGTCAGCAAATCGTGCACTCATCTCGGAATCTGCATCAGCATCGGAACGGGTACGTAGGCTGACTCCACCACCACCGCAACTAGCGGTATAGGCTGAATGGCGAGTAGCTGAACTCGTCTGCGATGAAGTATCATAGTCGGTAGTTCCGGCACTGGAGGCCACAGTTGTAGCCACTGCTACCACTGATGCTGTTATGCTGCCGGATGTGTCCATCAAATCTAATGGTTCCGATTTCAGTGACTGACTTGTTTGTTGCTGCTGCTGATAGGGCGGGGTATCTAAAGCACACTCAGAACTGCCATACATGCTCGACAGGGATTGCCGCATTGGCGAATAGTACAATGAGCTGGGTGGTGTAACTGGTGGACCAAGAGAACGGCTCTCGTGCCCCGTGTTGGTGCTCTGCACAGAACCCGGTGAACCTGCTGGGGGTAGTGGGGTTAACGGTCCACTACTAGTTGGCGGTAATGACCCTAGCCGGTGTGGATCCGTGTGTTGTGTTGAATCTATGCCAAGCGAGTGGCGCCACGTGGTCACAGATGCACCATTTGCGCTACTTGTGGGAGATGAATCGGACACTGAATGGGGACCAGAAAGGAAAGGGAGACGTTGGTGCTGAGAGCTCCCGTTGTGGTTGCTAGAAGCCATTGACTCAATTGATTCATATTTGGCTTTAGTGACAGATAACTGCTGCGAGTCGGAAAGAGGATGGAACGATCCATTTCCGTTAAAAGCAGAATAGCTCATATTGTGCCCAGTCTCGCTCATTGTTGTCCCATGACCAGTAGATGATGGCAAGTGAAACTGGGGTAAGTAGGGATTCCACGAGGCCGAAAACACCGAACCAGTCATGATATCCGTACCGGCAGAACAACCTTGCATAGAGACAGGTCGAAGGTGATGGTGGTGCTGCTGTTGCAACTGCTGATGCGTAAGCGCGTGTTGTATATGCCCCGTTCGGTTATCATTAGATCCGTCAGACAGTAAAGAGCCCGCGTGCGGTCGAAGATCAACTGCAGATGAGTGAAGCATGAGCGAGTCATGTGAAAAACTGTGCCCGGTATCAACAGACATTGGGTGTGCCCCGTTGGTCGTAGACATAGAGGAAACAAGTGGATTGGACGCCACAAATGCGTTAGGCAAGTAGGCAGCTGCTGCAGCAGCGCTTTGTGACGACGAGACTGGTGGTGCGGGTTTCCCGTTTCCCAACATCGAACCCATTGGGTGATCGGAACATAACAGCTGTTCGATCAGACCACTCGCTCGACTGTATATTGAAAAAAAGAGAGAGAAAGAGAAACGAGAAAAAATTGTGTGAGTTTAGAAAAGTAACCAAAAAGGGGGTCAGTGTGCATGTGTGGTGCTCTAGTTACCGAAGATAATGACAAACTTGAACGAGACATGTTAACACGATATCGAACATGTAAAATTAGAGTTACGTAGCTGTTGCACAACTTTGATCCAAATACGCTGAATTCGGGTCCACGACAAAGAGCGATCAAATCAAACGATTGACCATCCAAAAGATCATCATGGGGTGGAAATGCGAGTCCGGTGTCTCTAAGATCAATCATAAGTTAA